GCTACTAGCAATAGACGGACCCCGTCCCGACGCACTCTCTCTAGAACTCCCGGGAGCAGAGCGATCGGGGGGAAAAGCGTACAGATGAAGCCTCGGCCAAGTCTGTACCATGGCATCCAGCCCCAGTGGAGCTGGACGAGTCAGAGAGTACCAGAAGGGACATTGCGTCACAAAGGACATTGCGACATGTCTCCTGAGTCACAAAGAGGTCCACCTGAGCCTGGCCAAAGACTCTCCATATCTGCTTCACCACCTCGGGGTGAAGCATCCATTCCCCGGGCCTCGGCCCCTGCCTCGGCAGGACGTCTGCTCCCACATTGAGATGCCCAGGGATGAAAATGGCTCTTAGAGAAAGGAGCTTCCCTTGGGCCCACAAAAGTATCTGGTGTTCCAGCTTGTACAAGGGGCGCGAATGCAGACCTCCCTGGTGGTTGATATAAGAAACCACCGATGTGTTGTCGGTGCGCACCAACCCATGGCGATCTCTCAGGTCTGGTAGAAAGTATTTCAGTGCTCGAAATACGGCCAGCATCTCCAGGCATTTGATGTGCCAAGTGAGATGGCGTGACCTTGATCATGCGAAGCAGATTTCCCCTCGGGGAAAACCCCGTGGTCTTAAGCCACCACTGTAGGAGTCTCATGTACAGCAGGTCAAAAGGTATCATGTTGGACGCGGCTGCCATCAGACCCAGCAGTTTTTGAAACTGCTTGACAGTGAGTGACCGGCCTTCTTTGACTCTCGCGTCTGCAGTGAGGATCGACTCGATCCAAGCAGCAGACAGGGAGACATGGAAATATGCATCTTTTAGATCTATCATGACAAACCAGTCCTCAGACCTGATCTGAGACATGACCTGTTTGATAGTGAGCATCCTGAACTTCAGTCACATGACTGAGCGATTCAACTGACATAGATCTAAAATCGGACACAACCCCCTATCCTTCTTCGGAACTATGAAGTACCGGCTGTAGAACCCGGATTCTCTTTCGAGAGTAAGGACCATCTCGATGGCCTCCTTCCTCAGCAGAGTATTTACTTCTTGTTCTAACACCGGAGCCTGCTCGGGACCCACCACCGTGGAAACGATCCCGTTGAAACGAGGCGGAGGAGAACCAAATTGAATTCTGTAACCTCTCTCTGCAGTCTGCAGGACCCATCGTGAGATATCTGGCAGAAGCTTCCACGCTGCCAGAAAATCTACTAAGGGAATCAATCTCTCGAGACTGACCTCCGGTGTAATAGGAGACCTCCTCAGAGGTAACGAGCCCCCCAGAGCCATTACATTTCCGGGCGGACACTGGGATGTGCACTCGCTGGAGACCGTTGTGCCCTGAAGCACCGGCGGTGGCAGGGTTAACAGCTCGGCCTCCTGAGGGCACTGAGGAGAGACGGGCACCGTATAATGAGGTGTACACTGCTCTTCCCCAGTGGGGGCTGCCATCAGAAGCCCTGGGACACAAACACCAGGGTTTCTTTGTTGAAGACTTCTTAGCCAGAAGGACGGTCCACAGATCGGCCTTCGGCTTCGAAGACTTCGACCGTGAGCGTCGCTCCCTTCGCGATCCCCGTTCGCGTGGGGGTGTGCGAGTCGCAATGCTCACTTTCTGCGCCTCTCTGTATGAATAATCGACCAGAGACGGACTAAAGAGGCGGGCCGAGTATGGTTTCGACCACAATCTCGACACCTCAGTGTGGAGATCGGGGAAAAATGGCAAGCCCCGGCGTGGAGGGAGTTGCTTAGACCGTCAAAAGCGTTCAATCTAACTTTTAACGGGTTCTGCCTGCTTCTCGGCGGGCCATTCGAGATTTAATTTGGCCCCGCCGTGAGTTATCATCTCCATGAGCTCCTCATACTGTGCAGACTGAGGAGGTCCTTTGGCGCCCTTGCCATCGCCCTCCTCGGAGGACGGCAGGCTGAGTGCCGAGCCCTCTCCCCGGGGGGAAGAAACCGCTCCGTCGGAGCATGCTTCCGAACCCTGGGAGGTGGCGCTGGATCCGGTGGCAGAGGGAGAAGAAAAGGACTCACCCGTCTCCATTCCCTCCACCAGATCCAACTGTGAACCACACGACCTCAATCGCCGCGCTGCCTCGGGACCAGAGCCACGGGGAGCACTGGCGAGGGCTCCCTCCTCAAAGAGAGCCCTCCGGGAGCGAAGCGTCCGCATAGAGAGGCGCTCAAAAGGCGGGCAGCTCTCCCTTGAGAGTTGACTCGGCGTGCTTCGCTCCCAGACAAACAACACAAAGGCTGTGTGTATCCCTGCCCGTGATGTAGCGAGAGCAGGGAGGAACACACAACCTAAACTGCTGCTTGCCTTTATCACCCACTTTATTTTTCTTGTGCTTAGACTTTGGCATTGCTTTTTTGTTTGCAAAAGTGGCAGACAACGGTAAATAGGACATACACACACAGAGTGCTTCGCTGAATGACAGAAGCTGCCGCTGTCTTCACCTCACGTGCTTTTATAGTTTCCTGGTCACACGTCACCCTGTCCATGACATCGCGACCATTCATTGGTCTGATTACACACACGATTCAGAGCATAGTCACGCTGAAGGCGTTCCCAAACTGTTCGATGCAGCTCAAGTTCCTGAAGGGGAACTATATTTGCTGTTGTGCTTTTTGAAGTGTTGACCTTTCATAAAGCCCACATCCAGACACAAGTATAAGTCATATGTTAATTATAGCAACTCTAATTCAGATACCACAGTGAAAATAAAAAAAAAAAACCCAGAGGATCTACATTTACAATTTCACATCACAATGTTCAATGGAAGATACAAAACGGCCTACAACTGGGCCAGGATCAGTGGAAAAACATCAAGACAGGTGAGTTACGGGAAGCCGCGAGGAATCCTTCCTGGTGCATGTTACTCGTGGCCCAGGGCATTAAACTGTCTGCTTAACAAGGTGGGAATGTGATGGGAAGCTGTAATGGAGATCAGGTTGCGGTAGTGAGAAGGGAATGTGTGTAGAGAACGACTGGTGAGGGTGGAAGTTTGAACAGATAGAAAGAGCATATTAGATCAGAGTACTGCATGCTGAACTCATTTCTTTCAACGCCACATGACATTTTCCTCCTCTCATGTTCTCGCCTTCCTCCATTCATATGTGTGTGGACAGAATGAAGATGTCTGGCTCTTCAAAAACCAGACACTTGGGTTAGTCCTCGGGTCACCTAGAGTGGGCATCATTGTCTGAGGGATATGAAGACCGACTCCCAGCTTAAGTCTAGCACGTTTTCCTTTGCTATCATTCTGAGATGGCTTTTATTGAGCCTGATAACTCAAACCATATTTGTCAGGTAATACGTTTCCCCCAGATTATTCCATTTGCTTGTAGAGATATACTAATGAACTCGATTAGAATTTAATAACTGTAGGGTGGGGTCTGGTATCTGTGTCATTCCTTACTATGCGGCGCTTTATGTCTTTTGGCATGTTGTAATATAAAAATATTAATCATTAACGTCAACATTTTTAAAGATGGCAAATTTTACAATATATTTTAGGTGCTTCTCCATTTTTCCCCATTCTCTAATCAAAAAATGTCTTTGTGGAGATTTTTTTAACTGGTGAATACATGTTGAGGCAACACTCTTGAATGCTATTAAATGCATTAGGTATCATGAACTAACAATTACATTCAGGGTTGGAGCTGAACTCTGCAGGTCTGAGGCTCTCTTGAACCGAACTTGCCTACCCCTGGTCTAGGTTAACTAATAATTACCTTGCTTTTTCATGTTTGTTCACAATGCTACTTAATATGCACATGGTATGGTGATTTTATAAGTACAATATTCTCAATACAGGAAATAAGACATATAATTGTAATAAAAAAATACAGTTTCTCAGAGACATCATCTTTCAGAAAGTGACAATTTTTGGTGTGAAAACAATCATGAGTTAGTACTAGCAATGGATTTGATGTTTGAAAAATGTGACAACCCAGCTGACCACAAAACATCTTATCTGGTTATATAAAATTACAAAATATGATAAATATGATAATTAATATATTTTATTACTGTTATTAATAATAATAATAATAATAATAATAATAATAATAATAATAATAAAAATGACTAAAGAAGATTTTAAAATTATCTGTAAGCTAACTAAATTCCTCATTGGCCAAGTTATAATTTGTAACATTTATGTGTCTGAGCTTGACCAGAGAGTATTACTAAAAGTCTGGTATACAATTCAATATAAATTACAAAATGACCATATTCATTTGTATTTATTTATTTATTTAAGATAGAGTAATTCAAAAGACACAGCATATAAAAAATGATGCACGTGTTCTGGGGCTGCCATTCCCTTTGACTATTTGCTGCAGTGCGTGTCCATTTTAGCTTTATTGGAACAGGGATTGACAGACTGAACTAAGCCTGAGATGATCCAGCCATTAATTTCTAACTGACATTTTCCAATTTCAGTTTAATATAACTGAAAAGTTATTTTTTCATTTGCGAATGATAAATTGAATCATAATCAAATATATGTAGCACAAATGGTTTGTACGTGTAATGAGCTGAGCTGAAGAATCTTATGCAAAGGCAAAAGATGAAATTAAATTTCTTTCTGTCAGATTGATCCAGTTACCATCAAAAACAAATGTAACATGCAATCTACAACATTTATTCTCCCCGGTAGCATGTTTATATGAGCAAATTCTTCAAGACAAACATCTAAAAACGTGAGTAGCATACTTCACAGACAGTGTTTGCTAATGGGAAGGCCTTGTATTAATACTGCATTTAAAAGACAATGATGAAATACTTGCATTAAGTTCTGTCAGGGTCAACCAAGGTATAACTCTATTTCTAGATAAAAGTACTGCTTTAGTTTCCTTTCAACATTATTTTAGCACTTTTCTTTGACGTCATTACAGGTTCCTTTTCTCTGAAGCTTCAAAGTGCTTATTTTCTTTAAAAAAGGAAGAAGTGTTTCTCAGCAATTTGATTTGAACATTCTACCTCTCCAGCAATTTAAATACATCTAAAATCCTGCAAAGCAGTGGGTCTCTCTTCTTCCTTCCTCTCCCTCTGGATGGGCATATAGTCTGGCAGGTCACACTTTGATCTAGACCATCAGAATCTCTGTGGGAGATCTGGCAACTCTCATTCAGCTGACAAAACAAAGCCTGGTCTGCAGTGTGTTTCCAAAGCCTTCGATTACATTTTGACTCTCTGAATTGATGTTTTTGGAAATTCGATTGAACAAGCATCAGCACGATTGTCATCATCTTGCAGATATGGTTTTATGTTTTGCCTTTTAGAGACAAAAGCTGGTTGTGTTTAAATATGGCTGCCTGCCAAACGTGGACAAGATATTGGTGAACTGAGACACCAGGTGACAGGCCAAAAAAAAAAAAGCACCGGATTTCTGATAGTTTTGGCACAAGTGTATGTTAATAGGTGTTTTGTGTGAGTCAAAGGCATCCTGCTACTTCAGCCTTAATATTATGGTCCCGTAATATGTGTGCAGTGTTTTGGGGATGGTAATGAAAAGGATTAGCCTTTATGGTGATACTCTGTAACACAGCATAACCAACCTGGGGATTGTTCATGCAGTAAGTCACTTTGTACAAAGAGCATCTGCTAAACCAACAGAGACAGAAATTCTTCTATCTCGCCCGTACCTTTGTGATGTTAAGGATGTTTGATCATACACCCACTAGCTGTGACATTTGCCAGTGGTGTTATATGTCTCAATCACCTGATTCGCTGCTATGCTTCTGCAGTATATAGTTAAAACAAAAGGAGACACTAAATAAAGACAAATCTGCATACAAGTCTAATACTTTCCTGTGAAAAACTTGAACGAGCAATGAGCTCAAATGTGCCTTTGAAAATCGCATTTCCCCTCTGTAAATGTCAGAACCAGTCTGTTAAAGGACAAGGGCTAAGCATATGCTCTTGAGGGTCAATCTCAACCACGTGGGCTGTGAAAAGGTTAAATGACATCTGCTTTGACTGAAAGTTGATGCAATCAATGCAGATTTCATGTGAAATTGTGCAAAAGCGGCTTCTGGAGGAACTGTGTATGGACAAAGTGAGGCTGATAGAATAATTAATGGACACTTGTTCACTATACACCACTTACTGAATTTTCGCCCAAACTCTTGAACACAATTCACAATTTCAGCACTGGGCAAGTGCACATTCAATGCTAAACCCCATAACTTCTTGTGATTCCCTTCTGCCCTAATGCATCTGGCTGTCTGTATGCATTTGTGAATGATTCATTTATTTTGTTTTTATTAGAATCCAATCTTAAATAGACTTAACATTCTAATTAAAAGTTTTTAAGCAGAAACACTGGCAAATGCTGGCAGTAACATGATTTTTAAACAAAAATTATTCAAAAAAGATATATCATAACAATTACTGTCTAAAACTCAACCAAATAAAATTCCACATGAAAATAATTAAGACTGAATTTAACATGTTATTTAGTAGGCTTAAAAAAAGTGTAGGAATGAAAAATAATAATATCAATGTTCCCTCCATACACCATGTAGCTAACTAAATAAACAATAAATATACTTATAAAGCCACACGATGTTGTGATGTCTCTAAGTAATCTACTGTACATTGACGCTTTTCTCAGCAAAAACATATTGTTATATATGTGATTGTCATTAAATTGACATTTTGCATATCATGCAATTCAATTTGAACCTTTACTTTTCTAAAAGCCTTAATTCTAACTGTTTTATTCCAAGTGCACAAAACTATAACACAGAGAGAAACAAAACAAACTGCACTTTTATATCTCTCAAGACTACTGTATTCAGTGAGATCTACAGCATTTGTATTAGTATAGGGTGACCATATGTGCCATTTTCCCAGGACGCGTCCTGGCCAGGATTTCTATATTGCCTAAAATATCTAGGTTTTGGCTTTGTTTGTGTGTGCAGACCGATCGGTGTATGACATCAAAGTAGACGATTATACTTTCGAAACGCTCTCGAGGTACTTTGATGTCAAACACTGATCGGTCTGAGCCGCACTGCTTTTAAGTCGAACACACCTAATATGTACGCGTAATTGCATCGCTTTGACCGTAGATCCCACCTTCTCACACGTCATGATTGGTCCATTATGTACAATGCTTGCATGTTATTGGTCAAACTACTTTTCGATCATTACCTTCAGCAAGCATGAAAACAGAAAAACAAAGCCAAAACAAATCCTGGCCAGGACGCGTCCTGTGAAAATGGCACGTATGGTCACCCTATATTAGTATGCAGTCTCTAATTAATTTAGAGAGAAAATAAAAGGAAGGACACTATTACAGCTTAACTTGGATCCAACAAAAGTGTGAGATGAATTGTTCCTAATTACTCTCAGTCATGATCACAAATGTGTTGATTGGCCTCACTGATGGCTCTAAAAGGGACAACTCTGCTCATTACATAAAACTCGGAGTAATGACGCTGGGCTGGATTAACCGCTCTTGCTTAAAGGCTGCAGAAAATCAAAGCACTAATCCTTTGCTCCCTGCATGGCCTCCCTCCTCCTTTCCCCGCATTAAGTGACACAAATATTTGATCTGGGCATAGATACATGGAGTCCAGTAGTCTGGGGACAGCACAGAAATCACCTCTCATCCAAGTCGCATCCAAATGCGGTTCTGATAAATGACTGTCACTTGGAGACCGCTCAACTGGAAATGCACGGCCCTCAATGATTAACCAACAGATGCTAATCCAATGCAAATCATCACCACTGTCCACAAGGGTTTAGGAGGAAAACATTAATAATTTCGGGACCAAGCCAAATAAAAACAGCCACGTGCAACACCACGTCCTTGTGACTTAAAATAGCTATTGACTATTGATTTCATTTGAAAGAAATTTCTAGTAAATTTAGCAAATAATCACAAGGAAACAGCAAGTAATACATTGAATTAAATCTAAGTTTACAACTTTATTTATTTTTTATTTTATATACAGTATACTGTATATAACAACTCTAAGAAATTATATTTTTGTGGCCATAGAAAATAACTTTCTTACAGTACTACTGCATTAGAGCATGTAACAAGATCAGGAATCATTAAAGGGACATTATCCACAAGCAGTGACAGAATCAGAAACTCATGTAATTTGTGCACACAAGTTTTATTAACTAAACACTAACACAAACTAGTCTAACAAACATACACACACACACACACACACACACATACATACACAGGGGATTAAAGTGGATGAAAGAAACCGTTAGAAAAAACAGAGAATGCAGCTATGGAAAATGAGTCATTTAACCACCTGAGTAGAAACCATCAGTGCTGTTTTACAATGGGGTCTACAGCTTATACTAAACCTCTGTTTAATATAGTTAAATGTACAATACTTACATTGCCTTGGCCACTGAATGAATGTGAGGTCTTTTAACTTCTATGGAGGTCACACCTCCAGGTGATCAGTTACGACTCTTTGTCTTCGAACTTGGTATTTTGCATATGTAATTGGATTGGGTGCTGATGCAAAAACTATTAAAGATTATTAGAACACTAATATGTTGCATAGGTATCAACATATAATGTACACTCTCATTTAGATAATCAAAATACGAATTCATAGATACCAAACCAAATAGGTGAGGCTACATTAACTAGTGGTTCTATCATAAGCATGCATAAAACAGTATACAATACCAAAGACAATATACGAGAAAGTAATAAGCATACACAAAATGTCCTAGAGATAGGCATGTTCATTCCTAAAAGGTTTTCTATGAATGAATAGTTCATAGAATGAAGTATAATAGTTTATATATATATATATATCATAAACCATTGTTTTTTTTCTGTTTTTATTTGCCAAGAGTTTCACTCTTCAGCTCTGTGCACAAATAGACTGAAGCGGTTCTTTGGGGTTTGCATTTCACTGCCAGTTTATTTTTCTGATTTCTTTTCTTTCTTTTTCTTTTCTAATTTGAAAGTGATGTGTACCACGAGAATGCCAAAGCAACTTATACAGATCCTCTCATTATTATGCATTGGAAATGTCTTTTACAGGGGCAACATATGAATTCAAAGTATTTTATCAAAGGCAGAATCTTGTTATTGCTGTATTGTACATGCATCATCTTGCCCCGTATTTTAATACTCTCTTCAAGCAGATCCTGTTTTCTCCATGAAAATACACTGAATGTGTTTTAACTCTACAAGTTATGAAGGGAGTAAGACATTGTGACATTTCTGTAGTCATCTTACATCACTTTAGCTCTAAAGACAATCCCAGTCTCTGACATTTAAACCTGTTCCCTCAGCAGCATTAATGCACCATTCACTCAAGGCCATTTTGGGTCCGTCAGGATGAGTAATGCCAAATTGTGGTATTATTTTTATAAAGGTATAAAAATGCCATTTCCAGCATATGTCGGAGATGAAACTACATATGACAGACAATTTGGGCTGGTCTAGGATTTGCTTTAGAGGTGATTGAAGTGACGTGTCAAATTTAAGTATCTTAAAAGACCTGATTTTTTTTTTGTTGAACCGAACCAAAAACAACTGAATCCTTGCCCTTCATGTTTGGCATCAAAGTAAACAGCAGCTAGAAATGGCACTAAAGAGGTTTTCAACCAAGTTGGGATGAATTTCCCTGTGAATTACAATTAGGACACTGATCTTAAAAAATGAATGAATGAATGAATGAATGAATAAATAATCCTACATGCAGATTTATGTAATATATCCCCTGACATAACAAACATGTAAGCTTACTTTAGTTATGCGTCATTTTGCAGACTACAATCCACCTGGAGCAACCTTGGGTTAAATGTCTTGTTCACTTTCATGTCATTTAAAAAGAAGCAATGAAATGGGAGGATTTTTGTATTGTCATTAAATATGGAACATTTTCCACGGTAGTTAGACATTTTAATACTTTATATGAGACATGGCTGTGTTCCATTTAGAATTGAATAGAGAATTCCTTTCCTGAATTTGACCCGAAGTGGTAAACTGGATGCAAAATAGTAATTAAAATTTTAATTTAAGAAAGAATTAAAATAAAAATAAAATGTAAAGAAATGTATAGTGCTATATGTGTAGTACTAGTTTAAAATAATACAATTTAAATAAAAGGAATGAAATTAAATTCTAATAGTTCTAAAAAGGGCTGGCGAAATCACTATGGACCCCTCACATCCAGCACACTCCCTCTTTGAACTGTTGCCATCTGGTCGACGCTACAGAGCTCTGAGCACCAGAACGGCCAGACACAGGAACAGATTCTTCCCCCAGGTAATCCATCTCATTAACACTTGACAATAACTGTGGAACACACAACACTATCTATTTTTTATTCTTTTATTATCTATGTTTTTGTTCTGTCGCTGTCATTCTGTTGCACTGCGGAAGCTTCTGTCATGAAAACAAATTCATCGTATGTGTAAACATACCTGGCAATAAAGCTTATTCTGATTCTGAATCTGATTCTAATAATCAATGTTTGAAATGCCATCCATCCAAACTGTAAAAAGCTTGCAAGCTTTACAAGAAAATACTTTTTACTTCAAAATTTCACATTGACTTAAAAGTGTTACTTGCTGTTTCTTTGTAATTAATTGTGAAATTTACTAGCAAGTTCTGCGTGAAAACTGTTCCCACAAATGTTTCACAAATTTTATTAGAATAAATTTAAAAAAAGTTATTAGACTTCTTTAAATTTATTTTTATATATTCTACATATAAATAGTCAAATTAAAAAATATATGTTTTGTTGCAGATTTTATTAGAATTATCAAATTGTTGGACCCTTTTGAATTTCTTTGCATTTCAATTCAACAAATTCGAGAGGAATCCTATCATTCAATATCCTGGTGTATGAATAAAACAAATTCAAATCCACACTCATGAGCTGAAAGCGATCCAATTCTTATTTGTCCAAATCTGATATGACGAATACAAACTAGATATATCAATTAGCCTTTTATGCTATATCTGACAC